ATTTTTTGTAAATTTCATATTAAAATATTTAAAATTTCCAGCTTCAGCCATTTCCAGCTTCAGCCACGACAATAAGTTTTTAGATTATATAAAAAATGATGGACTTAAAGTATACGGGTTAACTCAGAATACAGCTACAAATGAATATATGATAGTATTTGATAAATTGGATTCTAAAAGAAATAGCGAGAATGGGAGATGCACGGATTGCAATCGATATAATACATCTAAAGCTTGGTGCCAAACATGTGATCCTCAGAAAATAACACAAGGATGGACAAGTGGAAATAAAAATATTGATGATTGCATTAAAGAATTTCAGCTTAAAACTGCAGAATATGAAAATGTAATCGAATGGATTCCTTTTAATAGATTAGATAATATTCAAAATATTGGGGATAGGTTTTTAGCAACTTGGTTAGATGGTATACGAGATGTAAAAACAGATAAAGGTGATAGATATACACAGTCACGTATACCATCATCTAAAGTGGATCTTAAAACATTAACTAGTTCGCAAAATTTATTAGAAATGTTAAATGAAGTAAGACAATATATATGCCATTTATTATTTCATTAATAGTGTGTATTCATAATTATATTTATCTATTTTTTCTTTTATAAGTTCAAACATCATGTGCAATTGGGAAGCAGCTTAGAGTATAAGAATATCTTTGGATTAACTCAAAAAATCTATGGTTTAACTCAAAACACAATAACGAATGAATATATGATAGTATTTGTTGAACTTGAACGAGCTGGACGTAATGGAAAATGTACAAATTGCAATCGATATAACACTTCTGAAGCTTGGTGTCAAGCATGTGACCCTCAGAAAATAACACAAGGATGGACAAGTGGAAATAAGGATGTTGATAATTGCATTAAAGAATTTCAACTTAAAGCTACATTTTACAGTAATGTGATCGAATGGATTCCTTTTAATAGATTAGATAATATTCAAGAGATTGGAAAAGGAGGGTTTGGTTTAGTATTTTCGGCAACATGGTTAGATGGTAAAAGAACAGTTTCAATTGAGCATGATAATTACATACAATCACGTACACCATCATGTGTAGTTGCACTTAAGACATTACCTAATTCTCAAAAGAATTTTTTAAAAGAAGTAAGTTGAAATAATTTATTCATGGCTTAGTAGCATAGATAAATTATTAACATAACAAATTTTATTTAACAAGTTTAAAAGTTTTATGCAATTTAGGTTAATGGGTTGTAATCTTGAAGTGTATGGAATAACTCAAAATACAACTAATAATGAATATTTGATGGTATTTCAATATGCAAATAGAGTGAGTCTTCATAAGTTCCTATTATCAAATTTTAGAGAACTTAATTGGGAAAATAAATTAAGACAGCTCGAGTTTATATCTGATAATTTAATGAAAGTACACAAAGCAGAATATATTCATGGAGATCTTCATAGCGGAAATATATTACAAAATCAATATATTAGTGGTTTTCTAATATCTTATATCACAGATTTAGGATTATCTAGAAAGAATGATGATTTAGTTTTAGAAGATGGTATTTACGGCGTTTTACCTTATGTTGCTCCGGAGGTGTTAAATAAACAACCATATACAATGGAAGCCGATATTTATAGTTTTGGTGTTATAATGGTAGAAATGTCTACTGGAAGACCACCTCATTACGATATTGAATATAATGAAGCGTTGGCAATTCAAATATGTAATGGATTACGCCCTAACCCCTGGGTGCTATATTCAATTAGCAAATCAATGTATGGATGCTAATCCTTCTAATAGACCAACTGCATCTGACATCCATGGTAATCTATCAAGATGGTATAGAATATTAGATAATAGCGCTGCAGAAGATAATAATGAATTAGCAATATTAAGAGCATTTCAGTCTGCAGATGAAATTATTCCAACATTATCAACCGAATTTCCAAATTGTACTAAAGATAAACTTACAAGTAAATTGCTTAACTTTAAAACTCTTTCTGAGCCAATTAATTCTTCATCTGCAGAATTACTAAAAATATATGGTAATAACTACAATAACTATACTTATTATATCTTGTTTTTAATTAATTAATAAAGGTTTAATTACATCAATTTTTTAGGTTCTAGAAAATATGATTTATCAATTTCTGATGATTTATTGAAATAATATTTTATTTTTGGAACAAAGCGAAGAAACTTAAGTTTAGAGAAAAAGAAATTAAGTATGAGTTCGATTGTCAATCATTTAAATGACATACATAGTTTATTAATTATTTGCTATTACATATATGTACGTACAGTACATAAACGAATTAACATCTTACATATTTTTATAAAAGAATAAAAAAATTCAATAGTTAGCAATTAAATTAATGCAGAGAAATTATATTGGCATAGCAACACTTGGCTTAATTCTATTAATGCAGAGAAATTATATTGGCATAGCAACACTTGGCTTAATTCTATTGAATGTTGATTTTAACACCAATACTGAATGTGCTGTGCTGCAATATCATTAATATTGTATAGATCTAAATGCTAATGCCAAGTACTGAGAAATTTTGGTTAAATTATTTTTTAAATTAGTTCAAATCCAATAATTTTTTTTAATTATAAAGTTAGGTGACTATATAAAGATAATGATATAAAAAATTTTTTAACAATTTTATTAAATAAAGGATAGGACTAGTCAGTGCCCCATGCCCCTACTATAAAATTGCTAATATCTTGAAATTTTGACTAGATGACCCCTGTCGTGTAAAATAAGCAAAAATGACCCTCTCGCAATTTTGCCTTAACCCTAACTTTAACCCTAATTCTACTCAACCTAATCCTAATTTAAGTGCATGGGGCCACTGTTTAGATTTTTCCTTAAAGGGATTATATAATTAAATAAATTTTTATATAAATTATATAAATAATTTTTTATTTAGATTAATTTATCATAAACTGCTCCGGATATCAGACCCCAAATGTACTATACGTGGGTCTATTATATGGGATAAAGTTTTGGTTATATACGGCTGTTTACGGTAATTAAGTTAGTATGATCCTACTGTATTTTGATCGAATTAAAAATTTTTATATTCTGTATAGATCAATTTGAAACTGTTATATAGATTCAGGTCTAATTTAAATTTGTTTTTTTTAGAGTTGTGTACTTTATATATATGTAGATAAATAAATTCCGCTTAACTTCATTCATTTTGTATTATTCTAGTTTATGATCATAGATTTCATGTTACAGATGTTTATCATATAATGAATATCTATAATGAACAGCGACTCATTAACCTGAGGTATAAAATGCGTTATTCATTGGGGGGGTTTTTTTTTTTGACTATTTTACTATTGCGGATCACATAATGTGTCTTTTTTCGTGTTAGACATTTATCATGATATGCAATGAGAATAGTCAAAAAAAAAGCAATGAATGATGCCAAGATTTATAAATACACCAATACCAAGCGAAAGATCCAACTATAGGTGCAGAAATATGATCGGTGACGTAACGTCCCGATAGCCGTAACTTGAGATATAACGGATATAACGAATACGCAAAGAAACCTTAACTCACATATGCCGTAACATTATGCACGTGTCGTAACAGTTGACATGTGTCGTAACAGTTGACATATGTCGTAACATTTGACGTGTGTCATAACATTAGCACATAACACTTGAATGTGTATTGTTATACACGTCACTCTGGTTATATCGACATTTGAATATCGACATTTGAATATACTGACATCTGGTTATATAACGACATTTTTTTAAAATTTTGAACCTACATACTTAATATGAAATGGGGTCTTTGTCTTGAAAATCACCTTCCGACATTTCCGATTGGGTTAATTAGCATAGCGGGCTTTATTATGATTGGTTGATTTTGAAGATCATCTCATCATATTAAAGTCTTATTAAAGTAACGAT